GAGTACAATATATTCATCTTAATTTAAAACTAGGAGGCATCAAAGAACTAAAGAATCACATAAAGATAGAAAAGATAGGAAAAAATGAATTAAGCACAACCTCCTAATAAGCTTAATTATCTGTAGTTTCTGCAGTCCATGTTTGCATTAAAATCCAAGGGGTGATAGATAACATTTATCCAGAACAAAGGAGCTTACAATGTAGTATATTGTAAATTGCTCAGAGGCACTGTATTCATGAGATGGGCAGCCTGGAAATCATTCATTCAGTCAGTCAATCAATCACGAAAAAGAAGAAAAAAATGGATAACATTTTTAAAGTTTGTCCTTAACAATCTGTGGCTTAATCAATACAGTATGTGCAGTCATCACTCTTATAACATCAACATGTCTGAGATGTGATACAGGAGGCAGAAGAATCTGTTACAAATACACCAGACCTTGATCTAAAGTAGTAGATTACTCTGACGAAAGAAAAGACACAAGAAGCCAATGGGAAAATAGGAATAAAGGTGGGTGGTTTTTTTGTTTCCTAAGAATATTCCAGGCCAAAATTTTAATTTACGCTCAACAGCTTTAAGGATTTCTTCAGAAGACCCAACTTCATTTTTGAACTCTTCTGTGAAAATTCTCTCAAATGTCTCACTTGTTTTAGCTCTGCAATGGTAGGCAGGCTCATCCCTGGTAATCACTATTACCCAAACCCATTTTTGCCCCAATCCCAATATTTTCCAGAAGGCTTTGACTGCAGCTCCCACCATCCCTTAGCCAGGATGATCCTTGTTGAGAGTTGAAATCCATTGCATTAACTTGGGAAAGATCAAGCAAGCCTTCTGTGCTTCTAGGTTGAAACAACAACAGATCAAAAGAAATGTGCTTTTCCCAAAAGGCAACTGGACTTTCTTGGTTGCTTTTTTCCTTTGAAGAGGAAAAAAGCTTCCTGAAAAAGCTTCCTGGATGAGAAGTGAACCGTTTTCAAAGGGAAAAAAAATTAAGAAAGTCCAGTTGCCTTTTGGGAAAAACATCTTTGGAACAACTATGACTTGGATCGTGGGTGAAATCCAGCAGGTTCTGATAGAACTGGTAGTGGAAATTTTGAGTAGTTCAGAGAACTGGCAAATACCACCTCTGGCTGGTCCCAGAGTGGGGTGGGAATGGGGATTTTGCAGTATCCTTCCCCTGCCATGCCCACAAAGCCAACCCCACAAAGCCATAGCATGCCCGCCAAGCCACGCCCACAGAACTGGTAGTAAAAAAATTTGAATTCCACCACTGACCTGGATGATTGGGAATCTCCATTACAATCAACAGAAACAAAAACCTAGCAAGATTGCAGCCTACCCACTGCCATCTAGATAGGAATAGATTTCCTGAAGTTTAGTGCTTAATCAGTGTAAAAGTTGGTAGCATTAGAATTTAAGAAGGAAAACAGCCAAAAACTCTGGAGTGTATTGCCACCAAAGATGATCACAAGTCATTATGGATGCTAGATGCTATTGTGAGTCAGCATGAATTCATGATAAATTGAATATTTAACACTTAATGCTGGGCTGAAAACACAGGTAGCATTGTCTTTCCATTTAAACCGCAGCAGATGAAAGAAACAGAAACAGACTGGCATAAACTGTGCTTATAATTAAATGATCCTGCTTAAAATGTTAAGGGAAAGTGTGACAACTCACAAAGGGTTTTGATTACCTCATTCAGATGATATGGTTGATCTGGACGGAACTGCTTGGCTAAATACAGAAATGGTAAGAAACAAATTCTTTAAAATGGTTTCATTTAACACAGGAGTTTTTAAAGGTTTTCACTAGGCATGAGTGAATTATTTCTAATGACACTTGCTTCACTAGATGCAGTTTAAACCAGCGGTTCAGCCGAGCCGGTAGCAGTGACGATGTGACACCACTGAATTGGTTCTCTGTGACTGGGAGCTGGGCCTGCCCCTGCTGTATTCCTATTTTTATTTCTTGGTTTTTAGCCCAGCTGATAGGTGTGGCAGAATGGATTGCCACACCTCAGCTGGTCAGAAATCTAATGTGCTTGTGCGGAGCAAAGCGTGTGTGCGAAGTGAAACAGTAGTAACACCGGTTGGAACCCACTACTGGTTTAAACGTTTAGAAAAGTCCTAAAATGAGAACCATCATTTTATGTTTCAGCTTCCTGACTGGTTTTGTTGTTGCTTTCAGGAGATGGTTTAGAACAGGGGTCTCCAACCTTGGCAACTTTAAGACTTGTGGACTTCAACTCTCAGAATTCCTCAGCCAGCTTTGCTGAGGAAAGTTGAAGTCCACAAGTCTTAAAGTTGCCAAGGTTGGAGACCCCTGGTTTAGAATACACAATGGTGCTACAAACACTGCAGGGCTACTAGTGTCTTTTTGTTTGATACATTCATGATTTGTTTTTGAAAATATGCAAAGAAAAGTAGCAATTTCTGCAAATAATTCAAGAATTCACACCAGGAAAGCGGTCTGGCATTTGCATGTTTCTTTGGAAGGCCCATGTCAGTTCTAAGGAATTATGCAACGTTTGGCGATCTTAGCTGGGAACAAGTCCTGGAGAATTCAATAGCACATATTTCTCATTAGAGATACACAGGCTTTCTCCGTGATCAATTAGTATTCAAAAGCATAGATAAACCCAAAATAAAACCCTCAGTCCCTCACGCACTGACCTTGAATGCATTCATTGAGACTTAATCCAAGAAATTGCAGAGTGCTATCAGCCTTTAGCACACTTTCTGTAATAATCTATATTTCCTCTGAATCCCATGGACTATTGAATTCTTCCTCTTTTTCTCTCTTAGGATATTGATTTCTGCATCTTGTCAAATTGTAAAGTGCACTCAGCCCTGCTTAAGACAGAAGCCCATTGTCCACATTTCCAGGAACTGCTGCTGCTCTACTTGAGATTCCCTCATTTACCCTTTTCTGCTGCAATCATACTATCAGCACAAAGTAATTTCAAGTGGCAAAAGAGTTTTGAGAAGACTCACAAGTGACTGAAAATTTGGGACTTTATAGCTGTGACACATCTGGAGATCAACGTCGGAAACACTGTTGTAATCCTACTGATGTATAATTGCGTTTGATGCCTTGTTTTACATGATGTGTATTCTAATTTTACCTACTGTCGTATTTTAGTCTCAGATATACATGATTTATTTATGATTAGTCTCAGTTATACATGATTTATTATACTGTACAGAATTCTAATAGTTTATATTATATTTTACCAAGGGGATTTCCTATGTTGGTATTTTACCTTATTCATTTATATCTGTGTTGTACATGGTCTGTTCTTTAACTGGTCATTGATTAAATAAACTTGGTGCCTGTTATAATCCTAGCCAATTAAGATGAGCTGCATAACTTCATAACTGCATAATATTAGGAAGCTTGCTGACCTGGAATTTAACTCGTGTAATAATAACCAGCAAGGCAAATGGTATTTAGTTTTAATGATCTAAAATAAGTATGTACTTAATATTATTGATTATTGATTATTGATTATTGATTATTATTATTATTATTATTATTATTATTTTATTCATTAAACATGAAACTCAGTCAACTGAACATTTAAAAATGTATCATAAATACCATTGACTGATGCTAATGGTTAATACAGGTTGCTGCCAGCATCCTAGGTATCAACCAAATTATTATTATTATTATTATTTAACAAAACTTATATCTGCAAACTTCCAAGGAGTAAGGATTAAGGTGGGGAATACATCCTATCAATCAATCAATCAATCAATCAATCAACCAATCACTCTTTTATGTGGCTTCATGTGGGGAAGTAGGTTTGAGTAGGAGATGCAATATATGACACTGGTGTTGCAAGTACATTGCTTTCTCTTGGTTCACAATGTGGAGAAAAATTGGCTTTACTTGTAACTAGTATTTTCTGAACAGACAGTAATGTCACAGAATGAAAGGAAAAAACAAGAACAAAAATATATTGAAAAACTACTAACATCTGAAGACATAAAGATATCTCAATAAAGCTTGTGGGAATTTTTTCCTATTCTGGAACGGAGCATCATAACAAAGTTTTCTTTAATGTGGTAACTCCTTAAAGTATTACTCAAAACAAAAAATATATAGTACATCTTAAAAAGAGATTACAATAAAAGACCCCATTCTGCAGCAAATAGCATATACAAAAATATTTGTAGGTTAGGAATACTTGATAGAAATAGAAAAGGATGTGATCGGTGGACAGTTAAATTGAAAGATGATGCAATCTGATGCCATCCAGAAACTGGTTGCGGTATAGCTTTCCTGCCTTTTTAAGCAGGACTTTTGAGTATAGTATCCTTTTAAATAGAGGCCACTTTTAGAAAATAAATTACCTATTCTAAAGAAAGACATCTAGTCACTGGCTATATTCTCTTTAAAGTTCTATAAAAGAGATGTAAGGAATTTTCCTTATGATGGTGATTTTTTAAATTGTATTTATTTATTCACTGTATTTCTCTACCACCAGATGATAGTTGTTCTTTGGGGATACAGTGAAATAAAATATGTACTAAAGAAAACAACAATGCATAGTAGGTGAGATAATAATAATGGAAATGCAGTCTAATAGTGTTATTATCAAGCAGCAGCAAAACACTAAAGCTGTAAAATGCTATAATAGTTATTTTAATGTCTGAACATAAAAAGCACCAAAAACAAGAAGACAAACAAATAGAGGTACATGGCAAGATTCTCTGTGGAGGGCATTCTTTGTACAATATAAACCATTGAAATGACAATGAAATCCGAATCACTGACTTTTAGGCATTACAATTTAGCAATACTTATTTCCAAGCAAACATAAGTTAATCTAATCTAATTTACCAGTATGTTTGTGATATAGTGATGGATCTAACCCAATAACTCACGAGACAGAGTAATGTCTTCTAGGAATTCTTTTATTGCAGGCCTGGATTGTTCCTAGGCCCATTCCTCTAACAGTAACTGATCTTTTGTCCTTCTCTTGCAGATACACATCTGGAACTGCTGGATGGCCTCGTGGTGAGACCTCTTATACCCAGGGGGAGGAGTTAGAGGTAAGGTGGGATTGTGGGAATGATGGGATATGTGGTTATGCAGGACTGTGAGGGGTTGTGGTACGAATGGGTTAGACATTTAACTTGACAAAACCCCCTCTAAATGTCTAACTGATGGCAGGTACATGGTTTTTTACATATACACATATTAACATACATAAAATTACATGATTTACATATAGACACATATTTTCGACATGAGGTATGCATGTTGTTTGCGAGGTAAAGGTTTGGTAAGTATATCTGCTGTTTGCTCTTCTTTGTCACAATGTATAGCCTTAATAAATCCAATCTCTGCGAATTGTCTAACATGCTTACACTTAATGTCGATATGCCTTGACCGTTGACCAACGGCATCGGCCTTTGATATTTCAATGGCTGCTTTATTGTCCTCATGAATAATTATTGGGTATGATGGTTCAGTCCAAATGTCACTGAGTAAGTCATCAAACCATATCAGGTTATTTGCCGCCTTAGACAAGCAGACAAATTCTGCCTTGGTGGTAGAGGTGGCTACTATTTTTGTTTTCCTGTGTACCAATGTATAGGGCTGTTGTTGAGGAAAAGTACGTACCCAGAAGTGCTTTTCCTACTTTTGATATCTCCCACCCAGTCAGCGTTTGCATAACAAGTTAACTTTGGTTTCGTTGATAGATCTGGTTCAAGGCATAAATGGGCATTGATACTGTATTTTAGGTATCTGAGTAACCTTTTGATGGCATCCCAGTGTAGAGTTGTAGGCTTACTCATGTGTCTGGATAGTAAGTTGACAGCTAAAGCAATGTCTGGTCTTGTCCAATTGGCTATGTACAGTAGTGACCCTATGGTAGACCTGTATAGTTTGTTATCAATGAAGGGTTCAGCTTCATTATACATATTTTTTAGAAAATCTGATTGCATGGAAGTCTCTCTGGGTTTTGCCTCTGACATATTACATTTTGATAATAGTTCTATGATTTTTTCCTGAGAGTCGGAAACCTTTGTCAGTTTTGGTCACTTGAACCCCTAAGTATTTGTCCATTTTCCCTAGTGATTTTAATGAGAAATGATTCCTTAATTCAGTGGCAAACTTGTCACATTTGGTCTTTTGCTTCCCTATGTATAATATATCGTCCACGTAGACAAGGATACCTTCAAATGATTCATTTTCTCTCTTTATGAAGAGGCATTTATCTGCTGAGGTGGCAGTGAAGCTCATAGAGGTGAGGGCTTTGGCTAGACAATCGTACCACCTTTTGCCTGACTGCTTGAGTCCATATAAGCTTTTATTCAGGAGCCATGTGTTGTTCTTTCCTTCATTGTATCCTGGTGGGGCTTTGACATAAATTTCCTTGTCCAATTCTGCATGAAGATATGCAGTTTTCACATCGAATTGAAATAGCTCAAGTCCCAGGATGATGGCTATTACTAGGGCACTCTTGACGCTTTCAGCTCTGACTGTGGGTGAGTAGGTCACTGTGTAGTCCTCTGGGTACTTTTGGGTGAAGCCTTGTGCGACTAGCCTCGCTTTGTACAGTACTTTGTTGTTTTCTAGGGTCTTGATCCTGAACACCCATTTGGTTCCTATTGTTTTTTTGTTTTCTGGTACTTGAGCTGGTGAGTATACTTGCAGGTCCCTGAGGCTCTCCATTTGTCTTTCCATGGCTGGTTTCCATTTTTCTTTCTCTTCCTGGGAAAGGTTGAGTATCTCTTCATAGAAACTGGGTGTGATATTGCTTGTGTGCATAGACATGACATAATCCTCAAGTCTCTTTGGTATTTTGTTCCTACTTGCCCTGACAGATCTGTCAGATCTGTCAGACAGATCTGTTTCATGCAGGTGCTCGGCTTCTTTGTCAGTGAGGCTATCCAAGTTTAAAGTGGGGTGCCCTTCCTTCCATTCCTCGGTCCTTAGTTCGTGGTGTTTGGGCTTGTGTGTTTTGGTTTCCTTTGCTTTTTCAGTGATTGGTTCCTCATCCTTTTGTTTACATGAGTGCGTGTCCCCACCAAGAAAAATGTCGTTGGAATGAAACCTTGACCAATTTGAATGTTCATGAAAGTCCACAGATCTAGACACAATAAACTTGTTATTGTAATCCACGAACCTGAAACCTTTTGTTCCTGGTTCATACCCCATGAATCTTAGTCTTTTGGATATTTTTTCTCCTTTCTTTCTTAATTGTCTGGGGATATGAACGTCCACCGGGACACCAAATATATGCAGGTGAGCTAGGTTAGGTTTCCTCTTATACATTATCTCATATGGGGTTTTATTAATTGAACTTGACCACAACCTGTTCAATGTATAGTTGGAGTAATGCAATGCTTCTGACCAGAATGATTGGCCCATCCCTGCGTCTTCTAGGACACATCTCATCATTGTTTGGAGTACGCTGTTTTTTCGTTCTATGACTCCATTTTGAAAAGGGGAAAAAGGTGAAGAAGTGAAATGCAATATGCCTCGTTCCCTTAACCATTTTGCAATGTCTCTGGCCATGAACTCTGAACCTCGGTCAGTCATTATCTGTTTGATTTTGGTGCCATGTTGTAATTCCACTCTTTTATAGAATTCTTTAAATTTTTGGAAAGCTTCATTTTTATGTCTGAGTGAATATACATAACCATATCTACTATAATCGTCCACAATGGTTAGGAAAAATCTTTTTCTATACCTAATGGATGGCTTTAGTGGCCCTACCAGGCCCATGTGTACTAATTGAAAGATAGTCAGTAGTCCGCTCTGATTTCTTAGGCCTCGCTTTGACCTTAATTTTTGAGCACTTACAAACAGAACACTCCAAATAATTCTCACAATCTTTTACTTTTAAACCCTCGGTACATTCCAACATTCTCTTAACAACTGGGAAACTGATATGTCCTAGTCTTCTATGGAGAAGGTGAGCACAATTATCATGGATGGGCTTTCCCATAGATACCGTATTTTTACCTGGTGACTTACAATTGGTTGCCCTCTGGTGTATCCCTCCTGTTTCTGTGTTTCCCTTTTTCTCGTTAACGGTGCTTATGTTTACACTCCCTTCGTTACTCTCGTTAGGTGTAAAGTAAGATAGACCGTCGTGTATGGTTACCTCCCCAACCTTTTTCCCTTTATTGGATACGTATACTCTGCCTTTTTTGAACATTACTTTGGTGTCTGTGTCCTTTGTAAGTTTTGTGGTGGCTAGCACGTTGTATGGTATCTCTGGCACATATAACACCCCCTCTATTTCTCCTATTCCTGGGATATGCACACTTCCCTTTCCTATTACCTTGGCAATGCTTTGGTTGGCCACTCTGATCTCAAAATCTGTCTCTATGAGGGAAATGAATAAACTTGAGTTATGTGTGGTGTGGTTAGCGGCCCCCGAGTCTAAGAGCCACATGTTATCACTTACTTCTTGTTTGGTGTTTGGTTCTCCATATTTAAAACCATACATTGATCCTGGGTTGCTGTCCCGGGAGCTGTCCCTACGTTCACTGTTTTGCCTGGGGTTGGGAGACCACCCCACCCTCATTCCCTAAAAGTCTGCGGTCGGGTGATTGTCTCCCTCTGCGATCATTGTATCCTCTGTCCCTATTGTTTCTGGGCAATCCTTTTTTAAATGGTTCCTAGAACTGCAAGAAAAACATTCTGGGTTACCCCTTGCCCTATCCTGGAACTCAACCTTCTGACAGGTCTTGGATCTCTCCTGGATATATGGCGATCCCTCCTTAGGTTATCTTCTGCAATTAAGTGATTGGTGAGTGTGTCTAAAGACAAGTGTTCTATACTGAGGCTGTCTAGTTGTGTCACAAAGTTGTCCTAGCTATTGTCTAATGAATTTATGACTATGCTCATCATACTCTCCTCAGTGATTGCTTCCCCCCTTTGCATTAATTCAGCCCGGGTAGCATTAAGCTTCAACAGATGCTCACTCATGGGAACCCCTGGCCTGAGCCTGGCAGAATGAAAATCCCTGGATATCCTTGTAGTGTTGGCTCTACTTCTACTGTAAAATAGGCTATAAAGTTTTTGCATGACCTTGTGTACCATCATGTGATTACCTATGCTTGGGTACATAGTGGGTGAGATGCTGGTTAACAATATACAAAAAGCCCTGTGATGGATACAGTCAATTTCAAATATCCAAGGTTCTTTTGGTGGTTTGAAATTAGGAAAAGTATGTTTTCTTTCATAAATATTATTTGCAGTTGCTGACTCAATTCTAAAAGATTTCTCCCATCTACCTGTAATTTTGGAAAGTTAACAGGTAATGTTCCAGAATTATTTGAGTAATTACTTACTGAGGGCAGCTGTCCATGGTCCTGGATGTGAGTGAACTCACAATATGGTAGTGGGATGCTTGAGCTAATGTTAAAAAAAGTCAGTCACCTTTTTTTTTTCTTCTCTCCCTGTAGGTGAAGACTGAGCATGCGCGAAGCTCATTTCGTGCTGGAAGTTATCGGGTGAGGAGATCGTGGCCGCGGCTCCTAGGTCTAGGCCCAGGCCTACCAGGGGAGGGTCGGACTCACCCCTGGAGTACCTGGACTGGGCATTGTGTGTCCGGAGTCGTTCCTGGATGGCTGGAACCTCATGGGACATCTGCGAGAAGCTCTGGAACTCCGCGGTCGCTGGCTGAGGCCTCCAGAGGCCCAGCGGCTCGGCGTTGTCAGTGGTCGAATCCAGTCTGTGGGCGCTGGCTGTGGATCGGGCCGGGAAGCCTGGTGGAGGTCATGGAGCAGGTAAGTATGCAGCCTGGTCTTCTTCCCTTGGGTCTCGTGTCGGTAGTGAGGGGCGCGGAGCATTCGGGGTTCGCTGTGGGACCAGTGTGGTCTCTGCCGCTGTTTGTTGTCCGCTGTCAGCATGTGTCATTTTCCTCGGACGAGATGTGGTCGGTGCCTCGATATTGATGGTCGTCCTGATGTCCCTTTGGGTCCCAGAGGCTTCCTCATGGTTTGTGCTTGCCGCGGGAGGTCTGAAAGCGGAGCCAAAGGCTGCTTCGAGGTCTCCATTGCTTTCTCGATCTCGAGCTCAGTAGGTGAGCTCCTGGATTTTTGATTTTCATTTTTATCATTGTTTTTGGATAAGTCTTTATTTATTTTAGGGCTTGGGCAGATTCGCGCCAAGGGATTTGAATCCAGGCTTCCCATTGGTTGCTGGCTATTCCAAGATGGCCACCGGGAAAAAGACATGAAAACGGATTCTGCCATCTCTAGCTCATCCGGTTGGGGTGGTGTTTCTCTTACCGGATCTGTGCCCTTGCAGGTCGGTTCCTTCTCCTCGTTCGCTGCTCCATGGTTCTTTAGCAGTCTCTGGAGGTTCGTGATGAGGTCTTCGTCTGTGATGGGTAGCTCCATGATTCTCAATACAGCCGCCTTGAGGTCATTGTTTCTGAGTGGGGTGGTTCTGGGACCATTCTCTTCATTTCCTCAGCGTGACTCAGCCCTGGATGGGGTGCATGGATCGTCCATCTGCTCTCTCCCAGCTGAAGTGGTCTTCAGAATGGCTCCAGAGGGAGACAGTTGCGCAGCCATTTGTCTAGTGAGAGCTCTTGTGTTTATTCTGTTCTTCTTTTCAGAATAAACGGTTGATTCAGTCATTATTCAGAGATATGGGTAACCATCCTTTGCTACCATTTGATATAGTGATGGATCTAACCCAATAACTCACGAGACAGAGTAATGTCTTCTAGGAATTCTTTTATTGCAGGCCTGGATTGTTCCTAGGCCCATTCCTCTAACTGACCTTTTGTCCTTCTCTTGCAGATACACATCTGGAACTGCTGGATGGCCTCGTGGTGAGATCTCTTATACCCAGGGGGAGGAGTTAGAGGTAAGGTGGGATTGTGGGAATGATGGGATATGTGGTTATGCAGGACTGTGAGGGGTTGTGGTACGAATGGGTTAGACATTTAACTTGACAGTTTGCTTGGAAATAAGCATTGCTAAATTGTAATATCTAAAAGTCAGCATGTTGGTTCCGATATTTTAAAAAGATAATGGATACTTTTTTATAATAATGAAGGTCTGTGGTTGACGTGCAGAATGACAAGTATACCTAAAATTTTGTATCTTTACAATAATAGGAATGTTCCCGAATGAGATCTGAAGTAGGAATAGTTCTGGTTTAGATGGGTTAAAATGGAAGACTTAAAACAGCTTGTACAGCTGAAAGTGAGGACAAATCTTTTTAAAACTCCTTAAATCTGAAACTAAGGCCGAGCCATCTCTATGTGACTGCATGCATACTTGTATCACAAAACCTAAGTGAAAAATTGCTGTGATTTGGTAGTCTGGGAAAGGCCTGGAAAGGTCTGAGAGGACAATGATCTCATAATGTAATTTTTTTTTTGTCAATGACCTTGACACAAAAACCACCCAGACTGTTATAGCTGGCTATCTCACAGAACTCAACACTTGAGCAAATGATTTACACTCGATTAAGACAGATCAAAGACAAAAAGGGAACACTTGTATCAAAAGCTACTTTTTAAGGTGCATTGGCTGATGGCCAAACTATAAAATGTAGTACCATTCCAATGGTAAAGCCTCAGAAGAACCTTGTTTGACTGGGCTAAGGCTGCTTCTAGTTGAGAGAAGTGGGAACAACCCTTTTCTAAAGGGTTGGTAAACCTAAGGCACAAGCGGAATGATTTATGGGTAAAGTAGAAAGGTGGAAACTGGTGACACAATGGCAAGAAAATAGGCTGAGGTGGGGAAATCATGAATAAATTAAAAATTCTCCTGCCTGCAACAAATTAAGAAGCAGGATTATTTCATATAAATTACAGAGGAAAAATGCTATCATTTATAAAATGACACTTTTCCGACAAAACAACAGTAGTGAACTGTGCCAGTGAAGTTTGGTGGTAATATTGGAGAAATTTATCGTTCCCTAGCAACGATATCTGTATTGATTGATTGCAGTTGGATTTTGGCGCTCTGTCTGCCTATTTACTATAGCAGGTAGAATTTTGGAAAGTGTTTCGTTTTGTAATATACATTATCCCATTTTATCTTTTCTTAGACACAACTTTTCCCAACCTAATCTTAAATTGAATCATCAAAGCAACCTTCAGTGCATAAGACCTGAGTTGGAAATCCAACCTGATACACAAGACTAGGCATTTCCTTGATTTTTTCTCATACAGTGCTTAATTTTATTAACTCTTTTTATTATTTTACAGTTACCATTGACTGACATTAAACAATACTGTTTACCTTTAAATTTTAGACTTACAGAAGATTCCCAAACTTCCTAGCACCTGGTCATTTTATCCCAATATAAAGCTTCGTAATGTAAAAGACAAATCAATACAATGCAGGGAGAGCCATTTGTAAGTAGAGTGCAGATAGTCCTCAACTTATAACTACAACTGAGATCAGATTTTTGGTTGCTAAGCAGGACAGTTGCTAAGTGAGTTGTGCCCCATTTTTATAACATTTTTTGCAACAGCTAAGTGAATTTGACTTTCCCCCATTGACTTTGCTTGCGGGAAGCCAGCTGGAAAGATTACATATGGTGATCATATGATCCTGGGACACTGCAACTATCATATATATATGCTAGTTGCTAAGCGTCCAAATTTTGATCACATGCCCATGGGGATACTGCAACAGTCATAACTCACTTTTTTCAGTGCTGTTGTAACTTCAAATGGTCACTAAGTGAAGGTAAATTGAGGACGACCTGTAGTAGAAATAATGACATGGTTTGCAACAGTGGTGAAATTCAATTTTTTTTACTACCGGCTCTGTGGGCGTGGCTTGGTGGGTGTGGCAGGGGAAGGATACTGCAAAATCCCCATTCCCACCCCACTCTGGGGTCAGCCAGAGATGGTATTTGCCGGTTCTCCGAACTACTCAAAATTTCTGCTACCGGTTCTCCAGAACCTGTCAGAACCTGCTGAATTTCACCCCTGGTTTGCAATATGCAGACTGAGCTCACATTTTGTGTAAGATTCCTTAAGGCTTCTGTTATGTAGGTATCTATTTTGTGCGGGAAATTCAAATGCAACAATGCTTGTGATTGGTTAACGGGTGTTTCAGAACTGTATATAAGGAGGGCTGTTGCCTGTGGTTCTTTGCTGAAGTCTCACCCTGAATTAAAGAGCTGTTGTCACTAGCTTGCTTGTGCCTCTCGTTATTCCCGCACTACAACAGCTTCTTTGATTTTGTTTAGTAAGCTGTATGAATCTATCCTGTGACAGAATGGAACAGTTAAACACAGTCTGCATTCTCACCAAAATAATCTCTCAGACCATTTATAGCTGATTATCTGAGGTTGGAAAAGAGCTGGAAGAGAAATGGATAAGAAAGAGAAAAATGAATGAAGCTAAGGAGCTGATAAGAGACAACGGAGATGGACAATGGTGTCCACAGGTGTGATCAACAGCATTTGTGACACTGGGGTCCAAATCCTGCTCATCTGTATATAACTGTAACATACACCACTCCCATTGCTGTACCCACTGTCTTGTCTATTTTGATCTCCCCATGAAAGCCACTGGAGATTGATAAATGGCTGACAAGTTGGATTTAGTCACTATTGGTTGCTGAAGAAATATCGGATTCATGAGTGATAGTTAATCATGGAAGAAGGATCAGCACAGAGGTTGCTTTGAAGAGAGGAGGAGGTGACACATTGAGGAATCATGTCTACCTGGCACCGAAATCCAGACACACAGAGAGAGAGAGAGAGAGAGAAAGAAAAGGATTAAAAGAAACAAGACAATCAACCTTCTGTTAGCCACGCACTGGCTGCTAGCTAAATTTTATCTTAAGCCCTTCATTAACTCTGTGTCTTATTCTTAGTTTTAGCTGCACACATTCTTATATTTTAAAATAGAGGCATACTGTAACAATAGAAGTTTGACTCTTGCAGACAGAGAGGTAATTTCTCAGGCACAGAGGAAATTAGGCAATAAATCAATTTACTGCATACCAGTCTTTTTGCTAGCAGGATGATGGTGATGGAGGGATCTGTTTCTCTGTTTAGGTGAATAATACTTGCAAAGCTATCAGACTGAAAGTCAAATGTAGAACATAAAATAACAGAATTGGAAGGGACTTTGGTGGTCTTCTAGTCCAGCCCCCTGCTCAAGCAAGAGATCCTGTACCATTCTGGACAAATGCCTGTCCCATCTCTTCTTAAAAACCTGCAATGATAAGGCACCCACAACTTCTGAAAGCAAGTTGTTCCACTAATTAATTGTTCTTACTATCAGGAAATTTCTCCTTAATTCTAGGTTGGATCTCTCTTTAATAATCAAAAACTAATGCTTTTCTATTCTGAAGTGTTACAAATAAATAAATATCCTGAATGTATGGAAAACACAAGAGTCCTTCTATGTTACCTTTTTCTGTTCCATTCCCAAATTCCCCACCAGTTCCCAATGCTAGACCAATTGTGGTTTGTAAGCCATGGCTTGTAGCATAATGTGCAGATTTTCTTGGACTATGGGCCATGCTTGTCATTTAGATGACCTGTTTGGAGTCACACTCCAAAAAGTATATGTGTCCCTGATCAAGTTGAATTTGATATTAAATAAAGTTAATACAATTATTGCTAATTTGCTTAAGTGTTTTTAACAAGTCTGTTTTGAGGAGGGGGAAAAAAAGTAAAAGCTGTAGAACCAGGCTGATCCAAGGGCACCAGTGTCTAGCGCTGAAATTTTGGAAGAATCATTCTAATTTTCTAATTCTGGACTTTGCTTCCAACATAGAAACATAGTGTTTAAGTCACAACCCACACTGAAAAGAGATAAAAGGAGGACACGTTGCTCTGGAAGAATACCTTGGCAGACAAGGATAACTCATGAATAATTATTACTTCCAAATAGCCTTTATCAGCATGAGTTGTATTCAGATGGTTGATTTATGAGACTAGTAGAGCTTTGCAAAGCATTCAAAAGCTGTGCAAATTTTGCCGAGATGAATTTAAAAGAGATTCTTCATTTACACACGTCTTCCAAACACTTTGAACTTCCTTATGGACCAGTATAAAAACACCACGGTGGTTCTTTAAAATTATATTTTTTCATATGTAACCTATTGTACATAAAAAGTAAATTGACTTTCAGATTATAAATGCAAAGTAAATGGAATAAGGGGAAAAAATAGATCCAATTACTGACATTGTAAGATGTGATCACCCATGATTTAATTAGAGAAAAGATTTTTCTCAGCACAATTAGGGAAATTCACCTTCTCAGAAAATTGCCTTCACTTATGCAAAACTACCAGCCTGAAATGTTTGAAATACATTGTTTTCCCCTGCAGCCAGTGTTCCCTTGTAATGAAGTTAAATAGTTTTGTTCTTACATGAGAAAGTGAATGTTTCTGACATTTTCTTTTAATTGAAATCAGTTATATTGTTATTTCTGTATGGCTGGGTCTACTTTAAGGACAACGTCTAAACATTAAAAATGTCACATTGATTGAACATGGAATACTGCATTGTGTACTATTGGGTGAGTTGATGAGAACATGGAAAAGAAATGGCTGATAATGATGTAGAGTTTTTTTTTTGTACTATGAAGAGAACAAAACAAGCTCGACGAATGATTTTTTTTTAAAAAAGTTAACCTGCAAATCCCAACTATGAAGGTGTCTGTATTTCAATCGATTTCTCTGTATAGCTTGCATAGAGCAAGTCACAAAGTCTGTAAAGTTCCATTGTGAAAATAAGCTAGTAACTATTGATATAAAATACTACCATAATTAGGCCTGGAAATGGTAATTTGATCAAGATTATTTCATGAAAAATATTTTGATGGAGTACATTAACATTCTTTGGATTGCCTTGAGATACTTGTGTCTATGATATGTTAA